GGGAGAGAGAGAGAGAGAGAGAGAGAGAGAGAGAGAGAAAACTGTGATTAGTATAGGGCTTGAACTAAGACTTGAGGAATTAAAGTGGTATGGAATGTTTAATTATAGAGGAGACCTTGGCAGTTTTTGATGATAGAGGAAAGTGCTTGAATAGTAGAAATTTAATATACTAGAAAAAAATCAGAAATGATCATGGTGAGATTTGTCAAAAAAAAAAAAAAAACAACAACAACAGGGAAGTATGGAATTGAGAAGACAGACATCATCTTGTTTGGAAAGATTTCTTGAAGCATCTCTTCTCTTTTTATCGAGTAAGATTGCCTTCCTCTCTTCTTCACAGTAGCCTGTACTTACTCCTGCCAACTATTTATTATTTTCCATTGCTACTGTTTACCTGCTTGGTTTCTATACTAATTTGTGAGATCTTTGCTGATGGTAAGATTTGTGCTCTTGTACCCCTGGCACAGTGTATACAACTGGCACATACCATAGATGTTAATGTGTCTTCAATGAATTGATGAGAACAATAAGTCAAGCTGTAATCATCAAAGATGATTATATAAGGTCAACTTTGAAAGAAGAAAACTATGTAAATTGGTTAGTAAGAGAAGGTATTCCCTGCAGTGTGATTAACCTAAGAATGAAGTTATTAATGAGCAGCATGACATTTGTGATTATCAGTAGTAATTACCATAACTAGAGTTCTCATTGGAAAATGAGTCATCTTGAAGTGAATCTATGAATCCAGATCACCTGGATTCTTCTTCTTCTCCTTCCTCTTCCTTCTCCCTGCCTCCTCTTCCTCCTCCTTTTCCTCCTCCTTCTCTTTCTCTTCCTCCTCCCCCTCCTCCTTCTTTTCCTCCTTCCTCTCCTTCCTCTTCCTTCTCCCCCTCTTCTCCTCCCTCCTCTCCTCTTCCTCTTCCTCCTCCTTCTCCTCCTTCCTCTTCCTCCTCCCCTCCTCCTCTTTCTCCCCCTCCTCCTCTTCTCCCCTCCTCCTCCTTCTCCTTCTTCTTCCCCACCTCCTCCTCTTCCTTCTCCCCCTCCTCCTCATCTTCCCTGCCTCATTTTCCTTCTTCTTCTTCCTTCTTTGCCCTTTCCCTTTTTCTCTTCCTCTCCTCCTTTCATCAGATTGAACCAGGGGGCACTTAACCCTTAGCCACATCCTTAGCCTTTCTTATTTTTTATTTTGAGATAGGTTCTTGCTCAGTAAGTTGCCTTGAGCCTAAGTTGCCAAGTCTGGCTTTGAACTTGCAATTCTCCTGCCTCCTGAATCCTTGGAATTATAGCCATGCACCACCATGACTGACTACATAGATTCTTAAAACTCAGTTATCACAATGAAGGTTCTGGTAACTCAGTGAAAATGTTGTAAGGCAGTATCAGGAAATCAAGGGAAAGGTTAAGCCATTGTAGACTAGGCAGATGGCAGAGAGAATAAGAAGGGGAAACCTATTCGTGGGATTTTTAAAAATTCAGTTTTTTGAGATCAAGTTTCAAATGCCTATATAAAAGCACTTTATAAAATTACTGTCTAATTTTAAAATGTTATTTGTAATACTCCCACTTGGCCCATAATTATTTCCTGTTTGCATCAACAGTGAACAGTGCAAAATGCTCTACAATGGGAGTCTAGGGATTTGAATTCTAGTCTCAATACCAGCCTAAGTAATGTATGGCTTTGGTAAGCAATTTGGTCAACAAAACTTATCTTTCTATTCTGAAACAGCAGTTTTTAATTTTTTTCACTTTAATCCAGATATGGATAGAATACAAATTCATCAGAACAAAAGCTCACCTTTTAAGTGATTCTTATGGTGGAGATGGAAAGAGAGTGTGCCCCCTTAAGGTGGGGGGTAGCATTAGAATTTGGGAATTAGAAACTGTACAGTTGACACATCATTTGAATAAAGCCCTGAGGTCAGACTGATTGTCTGTGTTAAATGTGAAGAAGGAGGGATGGGAGCTGTGTGTTAGCTCCTGTTAATGCAGGGAGAGTGGTCAGAAGTCAAATGGTTACAAGAGCTGTAACCTAATCAATCGATACTAGTTTGAAGGGACTCACTGGTTGGTAAGTAGAAGCAGGTGGGGCGTGGCTGGAGGAGGTGGGTCACTGCAGGTATGCCCTGGAAGGGTGCCTCTTCCTACAACCCCTTACCTCTCTGCTTCCTGAGCCCTCCTGAGCTGAGCAGTTTTCTTCTCCTGTGCCCTTCTTCCATGATGTGCTTGGAATTGTAACCATGGGCCCAGAGTAGTGGAGATGGCCTTTTATCTTAGTCTTTTCCCATCAGTTCTGTTCTTCCAAGCATATCTTCCTACCCTTTCTAAATTTAATACAATTTAGCCTATTAACTTCTTTAGTTGTTTCAAATTTCTCAAACTTTATCCCTATCAGCTTGACAAAAGTCTTGGTAGCTAAGCAAACATAAACGGAAATGTTTTTAGGGAGAGAAGGGTGAGTGGTAAAGAAAAAATGTGAATGCTATGACATTATAGTTTTTTCTCTGACATCTTGATAAAAGCCATTCAACTTTGCTCTTTTTTTTTTTCCTCTTGTATAGCCAAGACTGGTGAAATTGAGACACTCTCTGGAAAGTTCACTCGAGATGAAACCACTTCAGTTCCAAAAAAACCTGCTTTACTTGATGTATCTTCAGAAGAAAAAGCACAAGGTCCTATCAATATCCAAGCTGACTCTTTGGATCAAAATGTAACAGAAGCAGTAACTGCAATTTCAACATCCACAAAATCTAGAAATGTCAGATCCATGTTTATTCCAAGTTATGCTTTAGTTTCAACTCAATTTTTCAAGAAAAATATAAGAAAAATGAAAAGAAGTTCAGAAAAGTCCACAACTAAACTACCCAAAGTAGAAAATATTATTACTGATAAAAAATTAGAAGACATTTTGGTTGTTTCTTCAAAGTTCCCTCAATCAGACGGTTCTTCATTAGTTAACAAACGAAAGCGTGACTCTTCCAAAAGTGCAGTGTTGCCAAGTCGTCTAGTCAGTGCCTCACACAAGGTAGTAACCATTAGTAAAGTGCTACTAGGGATTACTCAGTTTCCAAGAAACATTGTCCTACCAACACCAATTTTACCAAGAAAACCTCATCCACAGTCTATCATAGGTAAATATAATCAGAACATGGTATCAAGTAATGGGGACCAATTGGAAAAAAGAGGAGAAAGGAAACATAAAGGGTGCCCCTCCCCTGGGTGTTCAGGGTGGACAAATTGAATCACTTTTTGTGTTTACATTTAACACCTGAGCCAGAGGGCAAGAACAGAAATCTTTACCTTGCAGATCTACCAAGCCCCAAAGGGGTAGTTCCTCCAATGGTAATGATGGAGACCAGTAAGGAAATTCAAAGGATCAAAAAAAAAATAATAATAATAATGTAAAGGACCAGTGAGCAATGATTTAGAAGGTGATCTAGTTTTCCAAAGATAGGACACCAGTGCCATTGGATAGCTTCATGGATGCATTCCAATGGATAATACCAGTTCATTAAATTAACAATTATAATGAAGCCAAAACATCCTCAAGTGAATTTTCACAAGTATCCAAAAGCTCTCCCATTTTTTTTTTCCTAGAAAGTCTTGCATCAGAAAATGAAAAGAGAGAAAGTGTTCTGAGGCTACCTGAAGGTAAATGCTAAGCCTATTATCATTCTTTTGGAAATTGTATATAAGATTATCTTTCTATAAAAGTATTGGTGATTTTGTGTGTTTGTGTATGTGTGTGTGCAGTTCTGCTAGTGCTTTGATCTAGCAGAGACAAATCAAAAATTCTCCTTAAACAAAGATTACACCGTTCTAGACTTTGCATTTATCTCTACCAACAATCTCACAAAATAGTACAGGGCATATGATTTAGAATTATCAGGCAAAAAGGAGAAAGTCAAAATGGTTAAGGACTAGCAGGAAGAGAAAGTAGTAGAAACAAATTCCTAAAAGTATTAAGTATGAGAATTATCAGGCACAGATTTTAAATAACCTGATGACTTCCAGTTCTGTCATAATTGGGTAGCTTCTATTGGACAAATTTTCCAGCCAAAATCAACTATTAAAGGTGCCAAATATACTTAAAATAGTCATTAAAGGCACTGGAAAGCGACCAATGCAGACTCAACCTGAGCCACTACAATATCTAGAAGGGCAGCCCTTGAGTTAGCTGGACCTATGGGCATTTGTGGTGTGGGAGAATACATATAGGTAGAAAGTGGTAGTTTTCATGGGTTGAGGAGATAGAAGTCAGACTTCAGAGTGGCCAGTGTCGCTGGGACTTGAGAAGCGAAATCTTGGAAAGGAGAAAAGTGAAGGGAAATGAATTTTAAAAAAATTCTATACACAGATTCCCTTGGGGGCATTGGCTGATTTTGAAGCTGTGCATCTGCAGGACAGGATTGAGAAACACAGCAGAGAACATCAGCTGAAAAGCCAAGAGATTTTTGCAGCTGCATAAGAAACAATTAATGGAGTTCAAGCTCTGGCCATGTGTAGGGCTTTTAAATAACTCACTGGACTTCTGATTGAAGATACAGAGAACCTATGTCATAGGATCTATGACGTAGGACTAAGGATGAAGTTCTAGGAGAAAGGACAAAACAAAAATACACTATAGAGTTTTTTTAAAAAAATTCAAAACCAATCCTTGATAAATCAAAGTGATACTTTCTGCCTAATGAAGAAAACCTGATACTTGTTAGAGACAGAATTATCCAGACCCCTTAAAATCATTCCTCCACAAAGTCTAGCATTGCTTAAAAAGTCACAAACATTCTTTAAAAAAAAAAAAAGATAAAATGTCTGAAAACCAATAGAAAGAAACAAGGCAATAGAAGCAGCTGCATGGCTGATTCATATATTGCAGTTTCAAACTGGAATTTTAAAACAATTGGTTACTATGTAAGAGGGGGAAAAAAAAGTTGGAGAATTTCACCAGAGGACTGAAATTTTTGTTTTAAAAAAAATAAGAGTCAAATGAAATTTTAGAGTAGGCAAAATAATATAACAAATTAATATTTCAATAGCTGCATTTAGTAGGAGAAAATACACGGTAGAATACTCCACCACAGGACTTCTCGAGCCCTCCCTTTCTTCCCAGTCTTTGTGTATCACTGTGATGTAAAGGAACTGTGGGTCTCTTCCACATCATGAGCCCAGGCAAGTCATGCCGCCATTCCTGCATTATTGAGCTTCTTCCACCCTGATTTTCCCTCCTTGGAAAGTTTAAGGATCCTCAGGTACTTCAGAGATCTATTAGAGACTTTCTAACTCCTTTCTCTTTTCCACTCAAAAACCAGATGCTTGGGTTTAGATACTGAGGATGTATGATTAGGGATCAGGTCACAGACTTAGGTCTTAATACACAATCCTTTTCTTCTCGCTCCATTTCCCCTCACTAGACAAGGTATCACTATTTCATATTATGCATCCTTCTTTATTCTGGGGTTAACTTTCATATCTATTGATCTAAAATGGGCACAAAGTTTTCATTTTAGAGATTAAAAACAGAATTTTTTTGTAGTTCTTCTAGGATGCTTTATTTCCTCTCCCTGAAACAATAGCATAGAATAATTGAGGTTGTAAAATATGTTTCTGCAAATAATACTGCAAGAAATGTCTGTGAATATAAAATATGGGCTTTAAAAATACTTTTGTTTAGTTATAGATGAAACAATGACATTTGTTTATTTATTTGTTTGTTTTATGTGGTGATGAGGATTGAACTCAGTGCCTCATTCGTACTAGGCTAGCACTCTACCACCGAGCCACAACCCAAGCCCTAAAATAAGGTTTTGAAAATTTCAAAATATTTTTTGGCTGCACTTTGGTGTATATTTTTGTAGACCATTTTTGATGGAAGGTGATCTCCAGAACGCTCATGATAAAGTAAATTTAAATGTAAGTGGTCTTTGCTCAGCTACTCCTGGGTTGTTTTTTGTCTTCTTTCCTTTCCTATGTGAAGTCTACAATCTGAGAGAAGAGTTAAGTTACGTACAGCATTTGAATCATACATCCAGGTGATGTTAGGGGGAAAGTGAGATGCCGCTTGGGAGATGATATCTGAGTTGTGTTGTCTTTTAATTTTGTAGACCAAAAGGTTGTTCCCTGTGATTTGTAGTAAAATTTTTGCAAATATTTTACATATAGTACAAAAATACAGAGATTAATGGAACCTAACTTATCCAGGTAAAAATCTGTGAGCGTATCATTTTGTTTGAAAAACAATTGTGCTATTCACTTTTTTTATTTGTTTTAATTAGTTACACATGACAGTACAATGACCTTGAACAAAACGGTACTCATGTGACAAATAGGAATCAACTAAGATTGGGTAGAAGAAGGATAGGGGGCATTTCTTCTAGAAGAGGTGTATAACTTTCCCCATGGTGACTCAATCTTATAGCATAAACACCCTTCAGCTTTCACTCTTAAACAATAACACTTGAATTTGATGATCATTACCAAAATACATGTATGAAGACACAAATTGGTGTGAATATACTATGTATACAACCAGAGATATGAAAAATTGTGCTCTATATATACAATAAGAATTGTAATGCATTAAGCTGTCATATATAAACTTAAAAATTACATAAAACAAATAAATTTCATGTTTTATTTTGATTTGTTAATTTAGGTGGCTCTAAATATAAAAAAACAGAATCAGACTACGTTTTATACGGTGACGGTTTTAAGACTATTGAGACAACACATTCGGAAACAATAATAGCGATGGCCAACCTGGCTGTAGTAACTTGCCAAGTGCATGGAAGAAATGCACTTAACCTTAAGGTATTCTAGATCTTTCTAATGACAATATCTTATCAATCATTTTTACTTTCACTCTTCTAAGGGAGGTTAGTTTCCATAGTATTAAAGGAGTCTTTCCTATTGTAATAAAGATTTCCCAGGAACAGAGTCAAATTGTATCTCTAAACGTATCTGTTCTAATTTGCCTTCAGCCCCCCAGCTAAGTTTAAAAAGATGCTCAGATCCTAACAGTAATGGTGTCTTTTGCATTACATGGCATAATAAGAGAAACTGAACTCAGATTTATCAGATTTTTTTTTAGTTGTCCAATTTTATTTATTTTTTATTAGTTGTTCAAAACATTACAAAGTTCTTGACATATCATATTTCATACATTTGATTCAAGCAGATTATGAACTCCCATTTTTACCCTATATACATAATGCAGATTCACATCGGTTACACATCCACTTTTTATCAGAATTTTAAGTTAGCAGCAATTTTTGGCTTTTCAACAAACACAAACCCAATATGATGCATAACAGAAATACTTGGTACCATTTATTAAGCACTCACCATGTTCCAAGCCTATGCTACTCTTAAAACTTAGCATTCTGCAAAGTAGGTATTATAATCTTTATATGACATATGAAAACACCAAGTTTCAGTGAAAGTAATTTGCATAAGACTACACAGTAAGCAAACTTCGATTTGAACCCAGAACTCTTTGGCCTAAAAAACCTATATATTTGATAAAAACTTCAACAACAAGGAACTACTAAAGACCTTTTTTAAATGCTGCTCATTAGCCAAAGTGAAGCATGCACTAGTTTTCTGTCAGATTTAGTGGTAAATAGAAGAAGTCCTAACCAAGAATAACTTACCATATAATGTGTTTTGTAACCCTGGAGAAACTTCTGAATCAGCAAGCATCTGTCAGAAGGTCACTGAACTCCTCAGATCCTTCTCATGCTCTGACAGTTTCTTGAAGACAAACATGACATTCTGTGTGAATGGGAAGTGTTACATAATGGAATAAATTGGCAACTCTACTGCATACAACAAAAAACACACTAATGCCTTCCCAAGAATTCAGTTTTCTGTCCCTCCTATGTAGGCTTTTCTTCAAAGGAAATTTGGAATTTGGAGATTTTCGTTCTCAGGGTTACAACATTTAGGATTTTAATCTTTCAGGATTGTGATTTGAGGGATTTTGATCTTTAGAGATTTGGGATTTCAGGGAATTTGATCTTTGGGGATTACAACATTTCTGATTATGGTTGCTGGAGTTATGATCAGCACTGATGAGAAAGCTGCTAGAGCTAATAAACAAATTAAGACAATAATTGCATTTACAATAGCATCCAACAGAAAAAAGGGGGGGGGCAAAATAAGTGAACAAACAATTCACTGAAACAAAATATCCTTATAAATATGAAAAGTACTTGACCTCATTCAAAATAAAAACAATGCAATTTAAAACTACATAGAGAAACAATTTCTCCCTTCACAGATTAGGAAAAGTTTGACAGTGTTAATGAGTTTGTAGTATTACCATTAGAAATTTTAAAAGGAGCATTCTCATGGGGAGAATATATTGTTAAGAATTAATATCTCTTTCACTTTCTTTTAGGGTTTTTTCCTCCTTTATTGTCCAGACTTCTCACCTTTGGCTTCCCAATTGATATATCTTAATTTATCATTTAATGACCTCCGTGAATTTCCCATAGAAGTGAGTCCATTTTAATTCTTGTATATATATATATATATAATTATTGTATATACATATATTGCTATGATTTATTATTTGTGAATAACTGTAACCAAAAAATAGACCCTGAAGTTACTATAAAGTACAAACATTTTGTATTGCAACTGAAAAGATTTATTCATACAATACAAAAAGGCTGGGGCTGTGGCACAGTGGTAGAGTGCTTGCCTGGCAGGTGTGAGACAGTGGGTTCAATCCTCAGCACCACATAAAAGTAAAATGAAGATATTGTGTCCACCTACAACTTAAAAAAATACATATTAACAAAAGTGTAGTATACTTTTTTTAGGAAGTCCCTTGACATAATCCTCAAAGGCTATGCTATAGTCAGACTCTCCAATATGTTTACTGTGTAAAATTTGTTCGATGTACAAAAAATATTTCTTCTAGTTCTTAATAATAAACATGTCCCCATGCCAATCCAAAGCTCTGAAAACAAAGTTAGTGATCAGATGATACTTTAGCAAGTTTAATTAACCATAGACTGCTCAATGAAATATATGAAGGATAACATATCTGGAATGATATAATTTAATGCCATTTTAAATAAACAAGACATTAGGGCAAATTGTTTTTTGTTTATTTGTTTTAGTGTCTGTAGTCAATGCCTCACCAGTCACTGGGTGATTAATTGTTTTGTGAATTGACTTTCAGAATATTGACATTTAGTTAAGCCATTTTTTTAATATTTATTTTTTAGTTTTTGGCGGACACAACATCTTTGTTTGTATATGGTGCTGAGGATCCAACCTGGGCCGCACGCGTGTCAGGCGAGCGCGCTACTGCTTGAGCCACATCCCCAGCCCCAAGTTAAGCCATTTTTAATTTTCAATCCAAAATGACCTGCTTCCTATTTCAAACATGTAGTAGTGAAAACACATATTTTCCAGCAAAACAAACAAAATATCTATTTCATGGAGTATATGCTGTAGTGGGGGGAGATCATACATCTTTGGGAGTGATCTATCCTATGATAATAAGAGCTTTGAGGAAAAATAAAGTAGAAGGAGAAGGAGTTTTTATTTTTAATAGGAAGACTTGCTTTTTACTTTTCTAAACAATGAAACCAGTTTTATTAATTTGACTAAGACAAATTGAGACGGATTCCCAAGGAAAATAAGGATCTTAGTTTTTTTTTTTTGTGCTAATTTAATTTTGGCAATGTGTATCTGCCAAAAATTCTCCATCCATTAAAAAAATGACATTTAAATGAAGGGGAGCTGTTAAGATATGAGATACAGAGTGCTTATCTTTAAAGTGATAGAAATTAGTAAAACTTGTCTTTACTATGTACATCTGTGCTATATAGCTGTAGGTAAAATATTCTAGTGAAGGTGGTAACATCCAGGCATAGAAGGGCTACGTTGAGGTGAGCTAATTATACCCAGTTACTAGCATGGGACACAGGTAATGGATGGAAGCCTGGGACTTGGGTGAGTGGGGTGGCTGGAATTATGACAGGATTTAAGATTGGGGAATCAGGCAGAGCACAGAGTCTGCTGCAATAGTTGAGGACAGGAGAAGGTAGAAGCAGAAATGTTAAATAAGAAGATTAATATAATATTCTATGTAAACATATTTGGTCTCCTTTCTTCTCTAAGCTTCTTTGAAAAGATGGAAAATTATATTTGGTAATAATTATAATAATATATCATTAGTCTTATAACCTATGGATGCAATATGTTTAACAATTACAGAAGAATAAAGGGAAGACAGAATAGACTACAGAGAAGAACATTTCTATATCTAACTGGAATTAAGTTTATGTAAATACGAAGTAGGTTCTAGTAAGAATTCAAGAGAATATAGTGAAAAATCATTAAAGTAGTTAAAATGTTTGCACTAGAAAATATTTACTCAATGCAAAAGAAAGCAGTAAATAAGGAACAAAAAAATCATAAGACATATAGAAAGTTAAAAGTAAAATGGCAGGTGTAAATCCAGTTGTGTTTGTCATAATGTTAACCGTGAATACATTAAGTGAAACTCACAGATTGTCAGGCTGGGCTTCAAAAATACACAGGGTCCAGTGATATGCTATCTGTAGGAGACACACTTAAGTTTGAAAATGACAAAGTGATTAAAAGTAAAAGCATGAGAAAAGATATATCATGCAAGCTGGAGTGACTGTAATAGTATCAGACAAAACAGATTTTACAACAAAAAATGTTACAAGAGACAAAGAAGGACATTTTGTCAATATATCAGGATGATGTGAACATACATGTATTTTTACAACAGAGCCCCAAAGTTTATGAAGCAAAAACTGAAAGAAAGGAAGAAATAAGAAATTCGACAATTATTATCGGATACGTTCATCACTTTCAATAATGCATAGAACCACTAGGAATAATATCAACAGGGAAATAGAAGAATTGGACAACACTGTAAACCAATTAGACTTCAAAGACATCTATGAAACAGTCCAACCAATAGCCATGGGAAAAAAAATTCCCAAATTTTCATTTTTCGGGATAGACCATGTGTAAGGTCTCAAATAAGCCTCAACAAACTTAAAAGGATTAAAAATCATAAAGGTTTATTTTTTTACTACAGTGGAATGACATTAGAAATCAAAGTCCAAGATTTGAAAATTCACTCATGTGAAAATTAAGCAACTCATTGTTAACCATGAGTCAAAGAAGAAATCAAAAGAGAAATTTTTAAAAAATTGAGAAGAATGAAAATGAAAAAAGGAAATGATAAAAACTAGTACTATAACTGGTGAAACAGAGAGTAGAAAAAAGAGAAATAAAACCAACAAGCCCAAATGTTATTACGTTGAAGTGATCCACAACACTTCACAAACCTACATAGACTGATGGGGGAATAAAAAGGCAGAAGGCATTGATACTAAAACCAAGAATGAAAGGTCGCTCCTGACCTTACCAATTTTTTATAAAAAGAGATTTTAAGAGAATACTATAAATAAATTGGCTACAAAATTTACTATCCTCCACTCCATCAATTTGTTATTTTATTATTATTAAAGGCTCAATAATAATAATAATCCCAGCAACTGGGAGGCTGAGGCAAGAGGATTGCAAAGTTCAACGCCAGCCTTGGCAACTTAGTGAGACACACTGTCTTTTGAAATAAAAAATAAAACAAGGACTGGGAATGTCTCTCAGTAACAGAGCATCCCTGGAATCAATCCTCAGAACCAAAAAAATGAAACAAATAAACAAAAACAAGATTCATCAGAGAGCAGAAAGAAAAATTTATATTAAGCAAAGATCATGGGTATAAATGGTATATCTTTAACTTTGATATGAAAATTAAATTACTGTGATAGCTCATGAAACAGTCTTACTGTAAGACTGTTTCACTGAGTATTGTTAGATACTATGTTAGATACTCTGTTATTGTTAGATAGCCGAGTAGAGTATTGTTGAATCACTCTCCTCCAAGTGGTTGGGTCCACTTAACCTTCCCAGCTCTGAGCTGTCTCCTTCCTCCCTTATCTTTCCATGATTGCTTCACATGAAACTCTGAGCTGGATCAAAAAGTCTGACCTTTCCCATTTTGAAAAGAACTCTTCTTGAGTCAAGGACATATGAATATACTAGTTGCTCTGTCTCTCTTGATCATACCTATTAATGCTGGTCACTTGTTTTAAAGGTTTATTAGAAGTATTTGTTGAAATGCCAAATATCTTCTCTGATAAAGATGGTGATTCATGATGGGGATGGGGGCCAGTATGGGAGGAATAGACGAACTTTAGATAGGGCAAAGGGGAGGGAGGGTAAGGGAGGAGGCATGGGGGTAAGAAAGATGGTGGAATGAGACAGACATCATTACCTAAGTACATGTATGAAGACAAGAATGGTATGACTCTATTTTGTGTTCAACCACAGACATGAAAATTTGTGCTAATATTTGTGTAATATGAATTGAGTTGCATTCTGCTGTCATATATAACAAGTTAGAATAAATAAAATAAATTTTTTTTTAAATATTGTTGAGATATAGGTTATAAGCCAAGTTATGTTGTCATACTGATTTCGTGATAGTTCAAAGAGTTAAGGTAGCAAATAGGAGTTATTATTCTGTTCATATTTGTTTCTCTTTTCTATTCTCCAGATACTTTGTCTTAAAAATCTACAAATACTGAAAATGAGAAATAATCCCATCAAAGAAATTCCTTCTGAAATCCAATACCTTAAGTTCCTTCGAATTTTCAGCATTGCTTTTAATTATATTCATGTTCTTCCGAATGGGTAAGTTTGATTATCTGAGATTATAAACATAGGAAATAAAATTAAACTATTTAATTTAGTAAAGAATAAGCTACCCTTTGGAAACAGCTAGAAGCTCTTTGGCTATTTAGTAATCTTCTCTTCTAATTAACTGATTTTATTCTTATTCTGGTACTAAAAATAATCCTATCAGCTGCATAAATGGCAATTAATATGAGTCTAGTGAATACTCATCTAAAGATCTGCTACTGATTATGGAGTAAATGAACCAGAGTCCTGTAATACAGTTCAGATGAGAACCTTGTACCCGCCTTTCATGGCCTTTGGGGATATGGGAAGAGCACTGAACTTGGATTTGGAATGTACACCTCTAATATTAAAGTTGATATTTTAACCTGCAGGAAGTAATTTGACAATTCTTGGTCTCAATTTCCTAATATATAAACTAAGGAGATTGGCCTAAGTGCTATCTAAGATCTTTTCAACTCTAATAGAAAGACTGATATTTGGGTATATAGAGATGGACTTCTTACATAAGAACCATTAATTTGTTGTTCTTGTTGTTGTTGTTGTTACTGAGGATTTAACCCAGGGCACTTAACCCTACATCCCCAACCAATTTTACTTTTTAATTTTGAAACAGGATTTCACTAACTTTCTAAGGCTGGTTTTGAACTTGTGATCTTCCTGCCTTAGCCTTCCAGGTTGCTGGGATTACAGGTGTGGGCCACAGTGCGTGGCTGAACTTATTTAACTTTTAATGAAAGCTGTAAACCCATATCTTAACCAAATGCCCAAACAAGATACTTCTTTAAACTATAGTTTAACAAACTGAATGTAAGTTAAAGACATTATCTATAATATCCATGTTACATTATATATATATATATATATATATATATATATTCATACACACATAAATTGCATATATTTGTATACATACACAGAAATATATAAATATTTATGTACATATACAGTTACATATGCAGCACCTAGACATGAATTTGTGCTGGATAACCTGTAATCATAATTATATATTATAAATAATCATAACCATCATTTAAAAATGTAGAAATCCCTAAAGCAACAAAAATTTGATCACAACTAAAAGGACAACATATTGTTCATTGTTAAGAGATTGGACAAATTAGTATGAACTCTTGGTTTTAAGGAGCTAGTTTTCAAAATATAAGTGTTTCTTAAAGAAAGTACTGTAGTTTTTATAAAATAGCATTGAATATACATAACCAGAAAAGATTGATGGCATAATGAAGCCAAGAATGAAAAACATAATGGGAAAACTTTATTGACCTCAGAGAAGATTTATAGCAACATCTGACATAAGTTAAAATGTTTGTTTGCAGAGTTTGTTAAGTAAAAACTCACCAAGAGAGTGATTGTACAGTGAGGAAAAGGCTGAACTCTGTATACTTAGGAACTGTTGTCAGAATTCCAGTTTGCTGAGCACAAATGACCCAATGCACAGTGGCAGGATTTAGGGAGCATTAACTGAGTAAAATGGAGTGAAATGCAGTGAATCAAACAGTTATGCAACATATTAGAGATAGTTCCAGTTCCATATAAATTTTGAATTTTGGATGTTATTACTGTCAAAAGTAATTACCCTGATGCACTTCGAATGCTATGTTTTCGTTTTTGTACATAATTCAGCAGATGTTAATGAAGCATCTACTATGTTCTTCCAGGAGCTCACTGCCTACAAGGAAGGCAGACAGTTGGATACAATTAGTAAAGTAAAACAACAGCAATGTAAATTGTAAGATGTGTGAATTCCATAGACTAGCATGCAACTCATTCAGGAGGATAAGAGATAACTCCCTAGAAAAGATGATGTTTGATCCAAGTACGACTATGAGTTAGCTGGGTTTCAGGGTCTGGAGAGAGCAAGAGAGAGTTGGTCCCATAATTTTTTGCTCAAAAAGAAGATAGCAAGGAAGCAACATATAAAATATGGGATGGGAACTATAAGGAGTTTGTCATTTTTGAAGCAAAGTCAAGTGATGAGAAATGAGCCTGGTGCCAGGGTCCTTGTGAGTCAAGATTTTTAAAAAATTATACTTTATGCTATATGCAATGAGAATACATTACAGGGTTTTCCACAGGGGAATATGGAATCTATTTTAGGTCACACTGGTGGCAGTACAGACGATGGATATGAGGGACCAAGCAGAATTCAAGGGGACCAGTTGTAGTGCTATTAAAATAGCTCAGCAAGAAATAAAGAAACCTTGAACCAGGGCAATGGTCATATACACAGAGAAGGAACATATTGTTGAGAAATAAAGCATAATCTGCAAGATTTGGTACTGATCAGACATTCAGCAGTTAAGAAACCTAGAAGTCAAGGCTAAAAAAAAAAAATGCATTGCGACTCCCAGATACCTACAGTAGAATAATTTAATCATGTAAAATTTATTTATTAATTATTTACTAAATAGTGAGTTCTTTCTTAAGAATTGTATTTAGATTGGTAGACTAGAAGGGGAATGATCCCTTCTCTTGTGGGGTTTAGAATCCAGAGAAGGATATTGAAATTCTAATAGATACTGTAATAAATAAATACGTATTCTAAGGATTATGAATGAAAAGAACAGGAAGAAGGAATATGAATTAAATTGATTTGCTAAGAAAACATTATTTGAGGAAATGACATTTAGCAGACATATATTATGAGTCTAGGCCAAGAATAGAGAAAAGAATATTTTATGCAGTGGGAATAAGGTAGGTGAGATCCTGGCCCTTCAAGGCTTCCAGGAAGCCAGCCTGGTTTGAGGGATGATGAGAACGTGGCCCCAGGTGAGGGCCAAGTGTTTGAAAATGGCTACATCCCATCAAGTTTTGGAGGTCACATGAAGAAATGTATATTTTAAGTGCCATGAGAAGCCCTTAATTAGTTTTAAGCAAAACAAAGACCAGATTAAAGTTAAGGAGTTTTGAAGGGAGGGAAATAATGTGTTTAACCCTACATCAATATGTTGGTCAGGGGTTATTTTCTATCCCACCGTTGGACTTAGACATAGTGAACCACAGAAGAGTTTTGTGCTGGAAATAAAATTTTTTTAATATTTATTTTTTAGGTGTAGATGGACACAACACAATGCCTTTATTTTTATGTGATTCTTAGAATCGAACCCAGATCCCGCCCATGCTAGGGGAACGCTCTACCACTGAGCCACAATCCCAACCCCTGGAAATAAAGATTTTTGAATTAACAGTATATACTAACTGAAGGCAGTATATATGTAGAGGAATTATCTGAACGATGTTGCTGGAGAAACATCAGCATTTCAGCTAAAGACAGATGAGGAGGAAATTCTAGACCTGGAGGGGGAAAAACTGTCAAATTGCACAAAGAGAACCAGGTGTATTGTGGAAGCCAGATTACTTCAGAAAAGGAGGATGACTAACAGTACCAAGTACAACAGAAAAACTCAGGTTAAATCTGAGAACAATTTCAGTGGAATGGTAGGAACAAAAGCCAGTTTGTAGTGGGCTGAGAGAGAAGGGGAGGAGAGAAATTGGTAATGATGAGTATAGGGACCACCTTTTGGAGAAATCTGGATGTACCAGGAAGAGAGAGATTCAATAAAAGATAGAAAGAACATGGGATCTTAGAAACATTTTTGTTAGTTTTTTTTTTTTTTTGACTCATAGTGGGATAGGGAGGGGGAGCATGG